CTTACTGGTAGAGGGATTATTGCCGTACCCCTGCTGCCATACCCCTTGTCCTAAATGGTGGTGGGTCTCTTCTCGATCTTTGGGTTGTCTCCATTCTTCTGGCGGCCTTCAAGATGACTCCTGCTCAGTCTAATCACAGACATCGCGTGCTTCAGCCGCATGCGTTCGTGCTGATTCCTCCACGCACTGTCACGCATTGGCACAACAACACGGACGGCAGGAGGGTGTACGCAGTTAAGTTGCCTCTATGACTCTATGCCCACACACAGGACAGTTCCGCGTAGTTGGGTCTACTAGGCACATGGCGATATGCAAGGGCGTGACACCCGTGACAGTACAGTACTTATCTGCATAAGCTTGTTGTTTGTCCAGTTGCCGCTGGAGAGATGCGGGTTGGATATGACCTGCAGGCTCATCACAGAAATTGAGGTGAGACCGCCACTAGACCCTTGTCGCAGTGGATGCCAGCAATTTGGTATTTCTCAAGCGAGATCGTGGCACGGTGCTCCACCTGATCTTTTACCTCCACGGGTGGTAGCAATGGTGCTCCCCGTTTTGCATCCAACCGGGTCGTAGCAATGGTGCTCCCCGCTTTACATTCACCCGCCCTCCCCCTGGGTCGTAGCATTGGTGCTCCCGTTCCCCACTCCCGGGTCGCAGCATTGGGGCTCCCCGCACGACGACAGCCAAACTATTTAGGCAAGGACGCACTCTCGCACAAGACTTCATCCCGGGGAGCAGCTCGTAGCGATGGGGCTCCCTGACTCGCGGTATATTTTGAATCCAACAAGCACAGTTACAGCATCCGTCGAATGCAGTCGCACCGACTATCATGAACTATGCCCTGCTGAATGGCTTCCCGTGGTACAGACACTTTGGACAGGCCACCTATCCTGATCCGGTTCACCACCTGAAGTGAACTCGTGATTGAGCTCCCGGTTTCTGTCGAGGGGGCGGAGGGAATTGTTTTGTTAGTCATGTCGACTGGGGGTCGGTACTATCGACATCTGAAACGCCATAGTGTGCCAACGCAGGAATTCGGGAGGTGAATCTGCTGCATGGAGCGCTTGTTGATGTGGGGGCCAGACCGAATGGATGCTGACTGCATGCACTACATGGGCTCAAACACAACTGGAAGAGCAATGCATGAAACCGGCTCGCGTTCTGCTGCCAAATGAAGGAGGAAGTATTTGCACAGCGTCGAATGTGCCGTTGCAAGCATTTGGGAATTGGTGAATTGCTGCGTGAACTGCATGGTGATGTGGGGGCCAGGCCAGACGGATTCTGATTGCATACACTGCGTGACAACAAATGTAGCACTGCATGAAACCGGTTCGCGTTCTGCTGCCGACGAAGAGGGCCATACAGGAGTGGGGGAGCGATCGAGAGCGCTGACGGGAGATAATGTACGGTTTCTGGCTGTGATCACTCAGCGTCAGTGATGTTCAGGAGGCTAGCCAGCTTCTTGACATGATTGATGCATGAGAATTTGGGAATTCACGGCATGTGCATGGTTGTCAGAGGCCTTGTGCAGGGCTTCGGAAGACTTGCGCGAAAGTGCTTCGGGGATGTGGAAAGTTTCTGTGGAGATGAGCCTGCCGGAGGGCCAGCCTGTGGTCTTGGAGAGTACTACCGTGTGAGATGTGAGGTGTCGGTAGATCTGAGTGAAGGTGAGTAGTTAATGTGTCCTCGGCTAATGTGCTGAGATGAATGCCAAAGTGCTGTTGTTGGGACTGGAATCCTCGCTGTGGTACGTCCGAGAGTGAGTGCTGAAACGCCATTGTCTCCCTGCTGCTGCCACTGCTGCGTTTGCTCTGCTTCGCATGGGGCCATGACGCTTGCGGAGGCCCATGCCCCGTTTGCGTCTTAACCCTCCGGGGCGGAGATAACGCGGGCGCCCATCTCCTTTCCAGGAGTCGATTTCTCTCTCTCTTTCTCCCTCTCTCTCTGTCTGTCGCGCTCGAGTAAACTTGACAACCTGCTGGGCTCCTTTAGAGATAGAATCCGGATTCCCTTAGTTCCTAAGTTGAGAGGAAATAGAGAGCTCCTTTGAGAAGTAGGATTTTTCATCGAAGGCTCTCCGCTAAAGTATGGGATTCAGTACACCCTGCTCTTATTTGTTGCCACTCCACTATTACTATGGCTTATTCTTAAGAACTAAGAGGGTGGCTTTTGTTTATAAAGAAGCCAGAAGAACGTAATCGGAGTTCCGTTAAACCGTACTTTGAAACACATATGAAAGGCAGTCTTTTCCTAAAACCAAAACAAGATGGCCCCTACATGTCTCAAACCACTGAACGATAGAAGGAGCTCATGATGTAGTTGTTTCCGGAGCAAAAATAAGTATAAGCTCCCAGAGAGAAGTGGAAGCAGTGCTTGGAAGAAGGGTCCGATTTTTCTTGCAATTTTGGTGATTTACCCATGTCCCCATGCAGTTTTCAGAAGCGCAGAGCCTTTTCTCTCAACCAAACTTGAAGAGTTTTTGACAACATGTACTGATTGCCGCTACTATCTACGGTCGATGTGTAGTTATCAATCGAGAATCCCTGAAGCAGAGCACGGGCACGCAAATCCTGCAGCTGATGCGCCGGGCTCATGTGGTATGCATCGTCCTAGTGTCACACAAGCATCTTTTTTTCTACGCACTGCGACGGGACGCGATTACCATTTGGTTTGTTTTCTATGTCAAAAACCACGGGGGTAAGTGAGATGTGCTTACACCAAGGCGTTGTGTGCAGACAGTGGTGATTCAAGACAAGACCAACGTGGGGTTCACCGAGGGTGGCGAATACATATGATGTAGATGGATCGATCGATATTTAAATAAAAATGGGTAGCCTAGATTTATGTAGGTGTGTGAATGTAAACATATGTATGTTTTTGTGTTTATGTGCGTGTGTACACTTATGTATACACATATAATATACATACATACATACATACATACATACATACATATATATATATATATATATATATATACATATACATATACATATACATATACATACACATATACATATACACATATAATTACATATATACATATACATATATTCATATACGTATATTCATATACATATATTCATATACATAAATTCTTATACATATATTCATATACATATATTCATATACATATATTCATATGCACATATATATATATATATATATATATATATATATATGTGTGTGTGTGTATACATACTTTTACACATATATAATGCATATATACATATGTACATATACATATACAGATACTGATATACATATACATATACGTATACATATACATATACTTACACATGTAAGTATATATATATATATATGTATATATATATATATATACACATTATATATACATTAATTGTTTTCCTACATGTACAGTACATGGCATCTATAACATGAGTGCGTGTATAGACTCCGCAGAGACCTCTCTCTCCCACACCAGTGGGGCAGGCTGGCCTACAAGCCCGATGCGAAGATCGATTGGACATGGCGAGGCGAGGCAATGGCAGGCCGACGATCGCCTACGCCGGACTTTATGGCACCTTGGTTTGGCATTTAGTCTTTACATGGTGTTCTGTTCCGGGTTTAGAGACTCGGGATGTCAGTCCTGTAGTGTTCAGGTTTCGAAGTCACAGTCGGTGTAGCTCATGGCCGGTGAGCCATCCACTCTGCGCCGCGGGTTTGTTTCGACTGAGAGCTTTGCTTGGGGTCGCACCTGAGCGGTTGTGGTAGGCAACGTTTCGAGCTTCCCCAGCGAAGGTTGCTTGTATCTAAGTCTTCAAGGCCCGCCCGCCTTGATGCTGGTGCACGCTTCATGCTGTCAGGATGTCATCTCATGAGCGATTATACCAAAACATGCAGAATGTGTTATTAGATCAGATTAGGTTGCTCAGGACTGTGTTGTATTGTGCCATGTGATGTTGTATCATATGGTGGTATTTTGCCATGAGTTCAGAGGTTTGAGCCTGGGATTCTGTTGCCCTGGAAGGTGCGCGACCTTGCTTTTGAGGAGCTTACTCGCGGTTGGATGAAAGCAGCCGCGAGAGAAGCTGCTTATTCACCCTGCCCCTGACCGAAGGGTTTTCCGCAAATGCCAGTCCGTTCCGTGGCACTAGTAACTAGTCGCTCATCTTAGCTCAATGTAGTGACGCCGTCCAGAGACGGGATGCAGACGTCACTCGGTGCATGGGCACCAGTGCAAGTTTGAAGCAGCCTTTTCTGTACTATCGGCCATATAGCCGTGCCAATTCAATCCGACTCAATCCCACACTTGCATGCTGCACAGAGCACTATGAGAACTTCAGGGCTTGCATGTCGACCACGAGTGCCAATGATTTCAATGAGCTCTTGGACAGCAGCAAATGGCTGCGTTTGCCAGAGGCGACTGCAGCACGCAACGGGAGTGTCAGCCGGTGGACTCCGAAAATTCAACCCCCAAGCAGTACTGCACATCGCAATGATAATCCAGCTTCGTTCTCGTGCGCACCACATATGACACCCCTGCATTTCGACGTTTCCCAATTTCAGCAGCTCAGCAACATTTTCGGCACACATCGTGTGCTCTTTTCATCTGCTGAAAAAAGCTTGTGATGCAAAAGATGGATCGAGGCGCTCACGGCCAAGCTTCTACCCTACTTTGAAAGCAACTTTCGGTTGCCGCTGGAGCAACTTGGAGCTTCAAGGCGGTAATCATAGTCGTTTGTACCTATACCCTGCACCTTGTTTCCGAACCCCAACAACCTCAAACCCCTATCACCCTATATCCGAAATCCGATTCGTGCTTTTGTCAGTAAGAAGTATGTTACTTAGCAAAAGATCAAGTTGTGCTTATGTGGCTGCTGGATGAGCCATCGTTGCCGAGACACCCCGCAGGGCTTGTCCCGGTTGCGCAAGTCGAAACTCAAAATCCCTGAACTCCAAAGCCCTCAAAACCTCCAAAACCAACAGCCCTCAATAGCTCCAAACCTTAAAGACTTACACGCTACTGTCGTAAGGTGCACTTCGTGCCGCGATGCGAGGCTTGGAGATCCCGGCCATTGCCTAAGCAAAGCCCACGGAAACATAGTAGCTGAATGGAGTTTGGAGGGTGTTATAAGGGGTTTCAGAAGGGTTTGATATAGTTCTCGTTTCGTGGAATGCTATAAGGTTTATACCAGGGTTTTCTGTGATATTGTGGTTTGTTTCGCGGGTTTAAGAATGCTCAGGAGTAGCATACCCCAGAACACTGGTCCAATGATTGAGGCCACTACTGTATATACGGAGGACAGACTGTTCATGAAGTACGTGTGCCACCTGTGCGTACAAGTCGCAAACACACATGGATGCCTGGATGATACATACATACATAAGTACGTGCGTACATACATACAAACACATGTGTGTATATCCATAAGGGTATATGTATATATATAGAGAGAGAGAGAGAGAGCTACATAGCATACATACTTATGCATATAGTTTTATACACATATGCATATATTATTTGTTGGATTTATTCGTTTATTTGTTTGCAACCAACAGAGATACACAGATATATATATATATATATGTGTGTGTGTGTGTGTTCGCATGTGTATATAGATACATGCACGACTGCTTGTGACCATGGGTGGATGTAGATGGTTCAGAACGGTTGTGCTGAAACTAGCGTCTTGCCTGACTCTTAGTCCTCTTGGCCTTGGCATCAGTGCCTTCACCAGGCCCCAACTACTACACGCAAAGCCCCAACACCTACCGCCACTGAGGTGCCAGAGCTACATGTTGCTGCCATCGACGCCCTCGTGGCATTGGGAAAGGGCAAAGACCACATCATTGAGGAAGTTCAGCCTCAGACCAGGATGGATAGCCTTGAATTGTCCGTTGAGAGGACTGTGGGCGGAACTCTGGAGCACAAGAGCCTACCTGCATCCGTCGCGTTTCCTTCACAGGAGATCGCTTCGTTGGCGGCAGATGCGACGACGGTGCAGGTGAAGCGCCCTGGCGAAGATGGCCAAACTTTGTGCGCACGAACATTGTTTTCCTGCAGTCCTCAAGTTCATTCGAGGCGTCCAGGTGGATCATTGATAGCTGAAGCTGAAAGGCTAGAGCTGTCGCCTGCTGCAGAAGCCCATGATGCAATAGCCTAAGCATCTACCAAAATGATTATTTAAGGATCATGAGTTCTAGCTAGTATACTATGGTGATCTACCCCAAGAGCTTCTTCTAATGATTAAGCCATGTAAGGCCCTTGAGGGCACACGCACCAAGGTGCCACGCCCTCGGCAGATTGCCACAGGTGGCAGAACGAGGTGTGATCCTCATCCGGAGGGGTGCTGTCTGGTTTAGGGTTCCAAGCCCATGCAGAAGGGGTTTATCGCCGTGATGTAAAAATTATTGAGCCGTAATCAATAACTGAATAATCATAATCGATGGAGGGGGTTTAAGCCACGCTGCCACTGAGGCAACGAGCGTGCAATCGACGGAGTTCTGGCTGGCTTATCTTCACCTGAGGAAGATGTCCGCCACAAGGTGGTCAGTCGAAAAATCGCGCGCCCTTCCGCTAGTATGCCGAAAGGTCGTGGGCAGTTCCAATCTCCATCACAAACCGGTGATAGAATCGCAGTATGAAGCAGAGCCCGATTGTTCGTTCTCTCTGCTTTGATCAACAGCGTTTGAGTGCAGGCATTGAGCTGCGCATTGCCTGCGCTCGTGGAGCCAGGTGTGCCGATTCCTGCTTCAGCGAATGAATACTGAAGTCAACCACAATGGAGGGTTTTGCTTCGGAGGACATTCAACAGACGGATACGAAGGGATAAGTTCATGCAAGTCGGTAAGAAATTAGCTGTGACCTGTTGCCAAGTATGCACATGTTCCAGGAATACTCACGAGTGCTTTTGGCCGCTAGCATGTGGCACAATTAGCCCTGAAACCCCGCTTACTGCATCAAGTAGCAGCTTGCTCGGACAATACAGAATTCATACAATATACGCACATATCTGGGTGGTATATAAGATTGTATAAGTATGTTTTTTTTTATGTCGTATGTGCGCCGCATGCACGCACGTATGTGTGCATGTAGGTGTGTATAGCGTGTGTAGATATGCACGATCATGCTTGATGTACGTGTGTATGTATAGGTAGGACTGTATGTCTGTAACAAGAGATCTACTCTTTCGCCCTGAACAAGTGGCGCTTGGACTGGTGTTTTGGCAAGTACTGGAAGTGAGTCGCCTGTCTTCTATTTGCTGCGATCTGCAATCTGGACATCTATAGTGCGATGTATTCTGCCATGGACTGGTGTGGCCTTCGAGGCTTGGTCGTACACTAGCGAAGGCCTCTTGCAAGGGGGCGGCTGCAGAGGGCTACTCACCTCCTTGTGACGCCTGCCTTTGAGCTGGCGTTGGATCTTGGATCAGGATCTTGGATCTGGGAGATGTAGGCTCATGCTACGCTGCCCTGCTGCATGCAAACAGTCTATCTGGCTCTTGGGCTGCTACTTGCATCAAAGTGTCTGCTTCTTTTCTGCTGATGGACTCTCCTTTTGGCTGAGCCCTAGCTCCTCACTGATCGGTATGCGGTATACAAGCGGCGCCTACGGCTCCGGGATCTTGCTGGCGCTGAGCTTCTCAGCTCCTTTGCTCTTCTTCTGCTAGTTGACCCGGTGGAGCTAGCTGCAACCCACGGTTTTGACTGGGGTGGATGCAGAGATACGTCTTTTTGGTGAGGTATTTCTCGTTCTCTGGGAATGCCCTCCTTTTTGCACTTAGTTTGAGTGCGTGGCTTCAAGGTCGTTGGCAAACTGTCAAGTTGTCAGATGCTACAGCTTGGTGGCGGTGGAAGTGAGTCGCTGTTTTTGCTTGTGGATGTGGATGCGGATGTGGACATGTATAGGTACATGTATGCGGGAGTGCCGTAAATTGTAGGTTAATGTCGTGCGGCTGTTCCAATGTGAGCAGTGTGATGTGATGTAGAGTCTTCTCAACCCTCGTCTGACTTGTCGAGCACGAGTGACAAAAATGTCTGTATGTGATGGAACTTACATACTTGCGTATGTGTGTCATGCGCGTAAGATTCACTATCTGTCTGTCTACCGATCAGTCTATATTCTATGATTTTGACAGCCGTTTCAGGTGATTCGTCGGCTGTTTGGAAGCTGGTCGGTCTCTTGCGGCATCGTGACCGGCGCATCCGGCCGGGACCTGATCAAAACTTGCAGCAGTGGCGGCGGTAGCTGTAGGTACTTGCACAAAAATACCAATTTCTTATGCCTAGATTCGTAGCAGTGGCATTAGCAGCGGGCCGTTCCTTACAAAACTTGCAAGGGAGTGGAGGTCACATGCCTGGGCTTAGGCCGTCAACGTTGTTGCTGCGGCTGCGTAACACACTGCATCGCCTGCCATGCCGAGGGAAACTGCTGTGGAAGCGCTTTCCGTCGCGGTGGCAGCTTCTGCAGAAGGCAGTTATTGACTTCAAATCCTGGCCGACCGTAGTTGCCCTGGCCACACTTTTGCTTGAACTTCTGGCTGAATTCAGAATAATTACCAGGTCTCACATGCTGTACAGTTGCCACTACCAACACAGTTTCTTGTAGAACCAGGGTTTGAACCCCAGAATGCCAACGTTGTGTGTGGTCGCTGGCCAGCCCTCGCTGCATTGGCTGCATTTGCTTTTTGTTCCCGTTGTAGTGGACTCTGGGCTTTATTTTAGTGGTATTGTTCTGGTTGACCTGATGCTTTTGTCGCCGTTGTTGTTGTTGTTGTTGTTGTTGTTGTTGTTGTTGTTGTTGTTGTTGTTGTTGTTGTTGTTGTTGTTGTTGTTGTTGTTGCTGTTGTTGTTGTTGCTACTGCCGTTGCGTTGTGGTATGTTGCGGTTTGTGGCATTCTTCAAAGTCTTCTTCGTCATATGGGAGTTTCCGAATGTAGGGGACCCGAATATAGTAGCCTGAATAGTAGGATCCTTACTATCAGGATCCCAAAACCCGGTACCCCGAATTTCGGAAACTCCCATATCTCTATCTCTCTCGAAGTGAGCGACTGTGCTGTTGCGTGTGAGCCCACAGGGTCCAAGTACCATTATAGTAGGTACTTAGTAGGTTTTTGGGCCCCAAAAGTATATGCTATACTACTACACTATTACTTGGACTCCTTTCAATTATGGGATAATATTGATTAATACACCCCAAAACCTTATTCTAATTCTTCAGGCCCCTATACTGTGAGGCCGCAGGACGGCAGTCCACGCCTGCGCTTCGCTGCTGGACTCCAGCGACTGGGTGGCGCGGCAGTTCGCTCTGAAGGCGGGGAACATGCAGGGTTTATGGTTTAGGGTCATATCGGGGAAAACAAATTGCACGAATATGTTTAGTGCTTTGGTGAGGGTGGACGCAGCAACGAGAGTAGATGTCATAGTCAAGCTTTGGTGTTAAGGTGAGGTTTGCGTTTTCAAGACTCGGGTTGAGGATGTTGAGGTTTCATTCGAGCGTGTGTGTGGCGATTGAATAATAATAACAATGCTAATCGTCGATTTTTGAAGAGGGCAACATGAGAGTGAAAGGTTGCGCTCGCACGGAGTGGAGGCATTTCCCGACTCTTTGCTAGCCGCTCTAGCCAACACCAGGGCAGATATGAAAGCCCACTGAAGCTCGGGTTTAAAGCGTGCGAAAGCTGTGGTTACTTTCCAGCTGTAATGCTGCGCACTTTCCCGAGGTGCACAGCGGACAGCAGTCGTGAAGCGGAGTGGGGCAAGTCGCGCGAACCGGGAGTCTGCATCAGCAGATGCATAGTAGCAGGCTCATGCAGTCTCAGCCTTAGCGATACCGATGCTTCGGTACCCGAAGTCCATCTGAATACTCGGGGCCACGCTGCCCTGCCACAGGCCATAGCGAATGTTGCAGAAGTTGGGGACGAAAGCGCTGCTGCCGTTGCCATCGCCTGTTTGCACGACGCGGACCGTGACATCAGGCTGTGGGAATGCTTGAACCACAGCGTCATCACCCAAATTCCATTGTTTGCCCCCGCGAAAGACCTGGAACCAGACGTGCCCCTTGCTGCAACTGCTCCCGTGAGCCGATAGATGCCCTGAGGTGTCAGTCGATCGACACTTTGCCGAATACATGCTGGGATGTAGCGATTTTCCGTGCAGGTTATTCGGAGGTTGTTCTACGTATGATGCCCGGTGAGATCCTTATTTGACCCGTAACTTCAAACTCTTATCCAAGAAGGTGTAAACCTTATCGTTACATTTTAAAACCTCAGCAGGCATGGTGCCGTGTTTTGTTAGTGCCCATTTTGGGTTTACAAAGCTCTGCAAGCTGAGGAGGTCCTGCCAAAGATTGCACCAAAGGGTGACGTCCAGGCGCTCCTGAGCATGGTTAACTGCCTGGAGGACGTGGATCCAGATGTCCGAGTGACTCGTGCTCCATCATATGTAGTTATATATGTCTGTATGACTCTACATGTGTACATACATGTGCATACGTCTGCGCACATGTATATGCTATGTCTAAGAAGTCTTACATCTGCAGTATGGGTACTCTTATCACTGTGCAAAGGCGTCCCTATCTTGTATCACACACGCACACACATGTATAGATGCATGAATATATGTCTATATGTCGGCATGGGTGTATGTAACCTATGTGTGTGTATGTCAATGGAATATAACCCAATTTAGCAGAATGTAGTGTACTGTAATGTATGAAAGGTAAGGTGATGTAATGTCTCCATGCACGTCACTGCTAATTGCAGAATTACTGTGGCCACGTTGAACAATCGTGATCATAACGACGATCCTCATCCTTTTTATCTTGTTTGACGTTTGTACTCTTCCGAACTCTATGGTTTTCTGTTCTGCTCGATTTATTGCTGCATTTGCATAGTTACATTCCATCAAGTAGCATCAAACGGCAACATTCGGAGACAGGCAGGCGGGACCAGGGCCGGAAAGCAAGAGCTGCGTCCGCTGAGGCAACAGCCTCGCGTTGCCTGCCGAGGCTAGCTGTGCCAGGTCCCGCGACGTGTCAAAAGTTTACAAGTAGGGTTGAGCCTTGAAGGCTTCCCTAAATCCCCAACTATTATGCCGTAGCACACCCTCAGTACCCACCGTTCCGGACCGTCAGAGGTCTGTAAGGGGTAATATCGTGGCCTTAGGCCTTACGAGGAGAGGGTTTAACTCGCATGGCATTGCGGAAATATTTATCTTTCGGCATCCACCTGGCGGTTAAGCATTTCGGAGCCCGGCCTGGCATACATCCAAACATCGCTTCAGCGTCACCTTGCGGTTAATTGTGCATTGCGGAGCCCGTTCTGGGAATGCGTCCAACCGCTTCAGGGTCCACCTTGCGGTTATGCATTTCGGAGCCCGGCCTGGCATGCAAGCATCGACCGTTTCAGCGTCCACTCAGGGGTTCCGGTGGTATGGAATGCCCACAGTCGGAAACTTTTTTCTAGCAGCTGTTGTTTTTAAAGAGGAGTCTCGGTCACTATGTTGGGAGGGGAATCAAGGCCAACCGTAGGATTCGAACGGTGTGTGGCGCAGTACAAGTGTTTCGGAGATGAACTCCTGTTGCGTGAGTCTTGGCCTGACTTTTGTCCTGCTCCCAACGGTAAGCTTCGAACGTCGAGATTCGGTACGTGGTGCTCCGCTGTATCGCGCATACAGCGGAGCATAAGTGCGTCGGAGATGATGGAAGGGTATCTGCAGCTGCAGTAATGCAACAACAGAAACCAGCATCGCCTTCGTAATTCGCTACCAAAACGCATCAATGCCGCATCAAAATGGCAGCAGTCCGTACCGAGAGCCGAGAACACTGGCGTCCGCGAGGTTTCGTTAAGTTTCGACGTTTCCGGAACGACCAACAAAATCCAACGTCACCTTCGGGATGCAGGTCGGGGTGATGTGTAATTCCGGTGCTGATGTGGAATTCCCTGAAATGGCGTCCACCGTGGGGTGAGGCATATTGCTGCGCCCTGATGTGTGTTAACCCCCCCCCTGTGCAATAATTAGAATAGGGTTTTGGGGCCACTATACTATTACTATGATTACAGTGAGGAACCCCCACAATAGCATACGCAATTATTGAAGCCCCTATAGTATGTGTTCTTGGTTGGTTACGGCTCGATGTCTGACGGTTTTGTGGAAATGGGCGACGCGAGAGGCAGTGCTTACCTTTGGTTAGTATGGAATGGAGGAATGGGGCTTAGGGTTTAGGGTAGTAGGGTTTAGGGTAGTAGGGAGAGGAATGGGGCACAACTATGACTACTATTACTACCATTCTTCCATTCCCTATGAGCCTAAACCCTAAACCCTAAACCGGCAGGCGGTGGAAGCAGAGTGGTCCTCGATGTCATGATTGGGCGCCTTGCCAGCCCCGAAGGTGGCAGCAGCCGGGAATGATATAGCGGCCTTAATAATTACCTAGGCTCTTTTGGGGGGTTCCTTATTATAATCATAGGTATTAAAGCCCACAGTTTATGTTGAAGGGACCTTACAACTCCCACAGCTGATGTTTTTGGTATTCCTCTCACCGCCTTGCCTAGCGACTCCTTCAGCACTCCAGGCCAAAATCAGAGTTTAACTGCATCAAGTCGAAAGTTGGGGTATAGGAAACTTATCGGCCATGCGCAGAATCCGATTGAGAAGTTCCGTGGATCCCCAACCCGATCATCTGGAAGAGGTCACGTGCGGCACGGCGCCACAAGCCTCTTGCCCTGCCTTGCGCCACAAGGCACTGGTCGGGCACTGGTGCCATTCTTTCAACTTGCAAAGAGCAGACTCAGAAATAGATCATAAGAATTTGGCATGGTTGGACTGACCTGGCTCAGGCGATACATCATCACTGGATGCATTGATCCTCGGCCGCTAATGATCAAGCAGAAGGCACCTGAAATGTGGGACGATGCAAGCCTTAGATGCTTCACACCTATGCAGGGTTCAGAGTCGCATGCTGCATCCGCAGGCGTACAGCAGCACGAACTGTGACACAAATACGCTTTTGCCGACAATCATCTTAATCCTGGCCCTGCTTGTCCTCCCTAAACCCTTTACCCTTAAACGAAAACCGCAGATCCAAAACCACGGCTCAGTTCCTCCAGCGATCCGCTCGGATGCCCCTACATTTTCTACAGCCTAAACCTGCTCGTCGGCAGAGCTGTCCGCCCGCTTGGGAAAGGCTTGGATTGCCGCAACTCCGAACCCGAAACCCTGAAGCGGAAACCCCAAAACCAATGCCTAAACTTCTAGACCCCGAGAGCGTGGCTTTAGTGACCTCCTCAATACTTGGAGGATCATGGGACTTAGTAAGTAGGGTTATAAGTGCCTTAAATGGGGTTATAAGTACTTATAAGTATAGTTACCTTATTTATAACCCCACTTACTAAGTCCCATGATCCTTTAAGTAAGGATGGCTCGCCTGCACGATGTCCACATCGACATCCGCGTGTCGGCGGCCCACGCCATTGCCGCGATAGTGTCACCTGCAGACCTGCAGGCTATGAGAAAACTGCAGCTGGGCTTGCATCCGGGAGCTTTACAAGATTGGGACGAGAGGTTATATGTGTATGTCTATATACATATATATATATATGTACATTACATGTTTTTTATACCCTTATGAACCCTGCAGCATCCTGTAACTATACCCTCACCCCAAATATCTTCGTTATACAAGTCCTGAAATTTAGGGTCAAGGCAATACTAACCCCAATCCACCGCAACCAAAAAGCCTAAGCCAAAGCCTAGCATCCCTTGAAGGCACCGAAGTAGGAGCAAAGCCTGTGAAGGATCGGATCGAGCCCAGAGCTAAAGCTTGCAAAGCTGCACCCCCTCGGGTTTAGGGTTTAGGGAAGTTTAGGGTCTCGCTTTAAAGGCCTGATGTTTATCGTTTCGTTTCAGAGGTTTGGGGTGTATGGATCTCCTTGGTCAGGTCCGACAGCCTTGAAGATGATCACAAAGCAGTCCGCTGCGCAGTGCTGCAGGCTTCTGGCCCGGCTACAGGTTTTCTCTGCATTTTGGGGGGTTGAGGGTTGAGGGGGTTGGATCTGGCTACCCAAGCCCAGTGGCAAAAAGGGGTTTAGGGTTTGGGGGTTTAGGGGCTTGCATAGTATGATACGGTTCAGAGTGGTCGTATGCGAGACATTATGTCTTGTGTGTTTGCGTGAGTGTTGCAGCCAGTAGTGCTGCAGATTTGCCTGGCCCTCAGTTTATCTCAGTTTCCCTTTTTCAGGGGTACCCGGCAGTCGCAATCGGCCTGGATGCAAAAAAGGGGCCTGCAGGGTGTCTCACAGCGAAAACCCGAAAACGCCACAAAGCCATGCATGGGTGCTAGTGCACAGATTGTCGCGCCAATGTGCAGCAAGCCTGACGTTGGACAGGCCTTGCTTGCCACGGATGCTGAACTGGACGCAAAAGCTGTGCTACACGGCTACATGGATTTCGGAGTTCAGGGACGTCACTACGCTTTCGTTCCAATGTTCACACACCAGTGGCCACATCGCTGACGCCAGGCAGGCTCTGCAGGAGCGCCTGGAAGACGGGTGTTTCGATGACGCATGGCGACATGCCCGTGACAGCATCTTCGGCAACGACGCACAGCTGGCATCGCTGGAGAGCAGAAAATTGTGCGGCTGTGATCTGGTTCTTTCTGTACGAAGATGCAGGCTACATGTAGGGCACTCTCGGGCTAGCTGAGATAGACGGAGGCTACGGAAGATTTGGAAAGCAAGGCGCGATTTGTATTCACAGCAACAATTTAAATTGACAGAGTGTCTTCACAGCTTCAAACTTGCATCTTTCTGTATCCCAGGCCATCGAGCCTTGCTGGGAAGCAGCTTGCGGCATCAGAACAGAAGCAGGTGCAGCGCTGTCGTTCTTGTTTCGCTTCTTTCTCGGCGGTTTCAACCGGTGCCAACAAGGCGCCTCTGCTGCTCGCGATTCCAGAGCAACAATCAGGCACGGCGGCATCTCCCTTCGCCTGTGGAGCAGGAGGACTTGCGGTTTGCCTGGAATCGTTTGGCCGCATGTTCATAAGATCAGGAATAGTGCTAATAACCATAGGAGTAATAATGTTCACCTTCGTTGTCAGTGGCTTCCATGCCGCGCACGCTTTCGCGTTTTGTCTTCTGCATTAGCCAGTGTCGCATCAGGTGGGCAAGTTCTCGTTTGCGTGTCTCTTTGTATCTACTGTTGCAACCAAACCGCACACCTGTACGATTGCAAGAGTGCAGAGTATTCCTCGGCACAGGTACGAGGTGCCCGCCAGGTACTATAGGGGCTTTTATATTTATAATTAAAATAGGGTGTTGGGGCCCTTATACTATAATTACAATAAGGAACCCCCCTCTACAAACCCCCTTACATACTCCTTGCCAGGTGGAAGGCAGTGGCTATTGCACTTGAAACCCTCTAAACATAGAAATACTAAAGCCTGAACACTAATCCTCGCCAAGGTTTGTCCGAGTGTGAGTGCTGAAAACATGAAGACTAAGCCACTACTTGGAGGATCATGGGACTTAGTAAGTAGGGGTATAAGTAACTTAAATGGGGTTATAAGTACTTATAAGTGTAGTTACCTTATTTATAACCCCACTTACTAAGTCCCATGATCCTTTAAGTAAGCCCGAAGCCCTAAGCCCTGCAACGCGAAACCCCTACCTGGACCCTAGGGAAGCTACATCTGTAGGGCTCCCTAGTATGACTTCCCTAGATGGGCCCTTAAAAAGGTAGGTTACTGTTGATGATATAAATCCTGCATTACCTTAAGGACCCTAAATTATGGGAATTAGGGTATATTCCCTATTATGGGTAATGCAGGATTTGTACCATTAACCGTATTTGGGGTTAAGGTAAACCTTATGCCCCATAAAGTTGGAAACCGGATTAAGGCCAAATAGTGCTGGGATTCCCTCTAAATTTCTCTTAAGGATTGAGGCTATTGGGTTTCCAACTTTTAGGCTTCTACTGTAAGGTAAACCTAAACCCTAAACCTTATATCCTAAACCCTACTTGGAGGCCCTGTTGACTTAGTAAGTCTACTTAGTATCCCCTAGAAACCCTATTATAATCCCCGTAACCCAACTTACTAACCCTACTTACTAAGTCAAAAGGGCCTCCAAGTAAGAAACCCTAAACCCTATAGATCCCTTTAAGGAACCCCTATAGACCCTTTAAAGGAACCCTTACTTACTAAGTCAAAAGGGCCTCCAAGTAAACGACCTTGGGCCAGGTTCCTCGCAAGCCGTGGCCGGAACCGACTTCCACTTCACGCCGGTGCGGCGAGGCGAGTTGAGACCCCGAAGCCCCCGATTAGTCAAAGGCTATAGGGAGTAAAATGGGAGTTTCCGAAAAGGGGCCTTATAGGGTTCCTTTAAAAGGGTTACTATAAGGGCTACTATAAGAGTCTATATGGGAGTTTCCGAAAATTTGGTGGTAGCTTGTTTTGGGGCTCCTTTTAATAAGGGTCCTACTATTTCGGGTGCTATATCAATTAAGGTCCCCCATTTTTCGGAAACCCCCGTATAGGGGCCTTAATATTTGGAAGAGGGTTTGGTGTACATTGTACTATAATTATAACAAGGAGCCGCCCAAACCATGTTCTAATTATTAAGGCCGTTACAGTAGGGTTTTGGGTGTGAGGGTGTGGGTGTCCGAACAGAATTGAGAACGAAACAGCATAATACCCATGATAACAGCATAACCAACGCAAGAATGCTATTAGTAACAATGAAGAGGGTAATAATACTTGCAGGGTGTGTGTGCGTGTGCGTTAATCATAGTAACACTGCTTCTCAGTATCAGTATTGCTAGTAACCGAATTGACAACAAATCCACTACTGTAATTGTGACGATAATTATGTCATACTGTAGCCGTCTACTTATCCGGGGGCTGTAAGTGGGTCTTGTTTCTATCAGTTAAGATCTCGTCATTAGACTGAACGCTGGCTTTGGTTCGAAGGTGCTGCCGACACGCTGACCTACAGCCAGACGGTCGGCACCCTGGCACAGCAGCCGAACTGCACCTCATCCAGGGCTCAGGGATGGAGCAATGAGTTTTACCACACCACCAAACAACATGACGCTGAGATGAAGAAGAGGGCTTGGTACTGAGTGATCAGACAAAGAAGTGGTGGTTGCTCGAGATAGACCCCGGAATGGTCATCAGTTCTTACCCCCCAAGCCGACCCCAAGCCCGATTCTCATTACTAAGGCCCGGCCCTGCGTTATTCCGAAGCCCCCTGAGGCAACCGACGCAGACTGCGGCGCAGGACCTTGCGAGCTTTGCTCCGTCATTGAAAACAGACCTGAAGACACCAGAGCTTCATGGGTGGTTGTCAAAATTAGGGTGCCTTTTTGGGTCCCTATTATAGTACGGCACCCAATATTTAGGGTTCCCAAAAAAAGGACCATAATTTTGACAACCACCCTCGTGGACAGGAGCACTTGCTTACGGACTCCCTACGGTCTCTTCAGCAGACACAAGGGGCCGTCAAAGCCTCGGCGTGACGCTGCCAACCGCGGTGGAAAACATGAAGTTATAATGAAGACTTACATGCTCTAAACCTGCAAGGCTGCAAGGAATATCCTGGGTCCAAGAAGGTGTTAAGGGATGCACATGTCCTGCAATAGATAAGCCACCTCGGCGCGTGAAGCGACAGACTTGAATGCTCTCACGAGGTTTCAGTTCTAAGGTTCGTCCTTTGACGGCTGCTCAATCTTGGATGCACCCGAAACAGCAATCGAAGCCTTGCCTTGCGCGATGCTCATTTCTTCTGTTGGAGCAGGTGTGCAAGCAACAGGGTACTCACGAGCCGTGTTCCGCAGCCCAGGCCCCAAGCGAAGTCACTTGCTTCGCGCCGCCAGCTGCTGGCGCAGCCAAGGGAATCAGAGATGAGAAGGTGGCACCTGCCGTGTGGTAGAGGA